GACGCCAAAACAACCAAAACAAAGCGGAGACTCACCTCTTACATCAGGAAGAATCTGCCCGTTTCGAGCGTTATCCGTTCTTTCATAATCCGTTGTTGAATTGTGATCGGCAGAAGCTTTTCTGGTTCACGCCTCACTTTTTTTTTACAGGAACGGCCCCAAACAATCTCCTAAAACATGGATTTCTGCTTCCTGATCATGTGACGCGTGACGTATGCAGATGGAGATCGGCTTTAGAGCTGAGATGTTTGTTCTCACGGTGCGGGGGCTCGTTCCGATGCCCACACAGTAAAAAAATGCAATTGACGACTTTAGTCGTCATTGGCAGTGAATGAGTTAACATTCATGGACTCACCCATCTTGACTCATGACAGGAAGGTTGTTGTAGATTTAGCATCCCAGCAGAGAACGTCTCGGGTAGAAAGAGCTAACTGTTAGCATTAGCAACTCCACCACACAGCAGAACTCCTCTAGGCTTGTGTTATCTGTGGAGATAAAGCATCAGCGTTGCAGAGCAAATGGAGTGAGTGGTAGAGTCACGTTGCTGTTAGCCAGTCAGAGGAGAGATGTCCATGGAAATAAGAGGGAAACAGGTGCACTGGGGCTTTTCCCCAGAGTAAAACTTACAAAGCATTCATTCCTATAGAGACCAGTGCAAATGCATTAAAATATGAGTAAAGTTGACCTTTGACTGCTTCACCCTCAGTAGAGGTCACGGGGAGCTGATGTTTATTAACCAATTGGACTTGCAGGCTTTTGGTCTATGAGGAGAAGCCAGATTGCCCAGAGAAAACCCATGCACACCTGCAAATTCCACGGAGAAAGGCCGCACTCGGATTTCAACTGACAACCTTCGTGCTGCGACGCAATATTACTACCAACTGTGTCACCATGCCTCCAATTTCAGGGATTTCATCACAAATGTAACCAGCAGCAGCAAAGCTGAGCATTTCCAGTGCGTCTAGAAGGTTTTTCAGGAATTTCGTAACACAAAACTTAAGAGTGCAAAGGTTTTATAAAGATTGCTGCAAAAACTGCTGCAAAGGTTTTTATTTAATTATTTATTTATTTAAGAAAGCAGCAGTACATTTTCTTTTTGGTTGCTCTCAGATTAACGATTGGCTCATCAGTCTGTTTGGATATCGCCTCTATATCTCATGAGAAAAGATGTCATCATGGGTAGGCTCATCAGTGTTTACATCTTACAAAGCAACATTCAGAATGGCCAAAATATCTTTTAAATATCAAAGCATCATCGGTGTGTGGAATTGGCTTTTATTATGACCAATGCCAGACCCATCGGGGGTAACAACCAGTACAAGCCTCATCATCATCATCATCCTCCTCTCTCCCGTAAACAGCACAGCTCATTGGGACAGGAAATGGTTCTTGGACTGCACGGCCAAGGGAACCACCCTTTCTCTGGAAACTACCTTTATTCTGTTGAAAACATTACAGCGACGCTCACTTTGTGTGTTATGTGCAAACGTGTGTGTGTGTGTGTGTGTGTGTGTGTGTGTGTGTGTGTGTGTGTGTGTGTGTGTGTGTGTGTGTGTGAGAGAGAGAGAGTGAGTGAGGGTGGAGGGAACTATAAGCATGTAGTGTATTTTTATTATGTGGCCAGCCACTTACTTGATGCATGCTTACATGTGTGTGTGTGTGTGTGTGTGTGTGTGTGTGTGTGTGTGTGTGTGTGTGTGTGTGTGCGTGTGTGTGTGTGTGTGTGCGTGCGTGTGTGTGTGTGTGTGCACGTGTGAGGTGGGGGCAGCTAATTCTTACCACAGGCTGATGGGGTACATCTCTGCTGCTGCTCACCAAAAAAAGCAAGTGGTAGTGAGTCAGTCCCCGCTGGGCAAACCTGTGGCTGCAGCTGGAGAGCAATCCCAGGAGAGGAAATTAACAGTAGCTCTGGGCGAAAACCAAAAAGCTCCCCTGAGACAAGAATAAAAGGTGTAAAAAGTCCTGCTGAGGAGGAAATGAAATAGAAAGCAGCTGCAAATTGCATCATAAACACAATATAATTATCAGCGTGCAAATTAAATGACTTTCTAAAATAAAGTTCCTGTAAGAAGTTTGTGCCTGAAGGCAAAGTAATTATTTATAAACTTTACATAGAAATACTTGAATTTTCCTTATTTATGTGTAAGAAAAGCTTGGCATGGTGTGTTCTTCATGTAGGTAAAAAAAAAATTGTAAGTCGCTTTGGGTAAAAGCGTCTGCTAAGCACATAAACATAAACATGTAGGCTTTTTTATGATGGCACCTAAATGTTAATCCAGTACGAGCTTTTATTATTTTATTATTATTATGTTTATTTATTTGGCAGACGCTTTTATCCAAAGCGACTTACAATTTATAACCTATAGGGCATGTTGTGATCTGTGGGGGAAACCGGAGTACCCGGAGGAAACCCACGCATGCATGGGGAGAACACGCAACTCCACGTAGAAAGGCTACAGCCGAGTTTTGAACATGCGACCTTCGTGCTGCGAGGCAACAGTGCTAACCACTGCGCCACCATGCAGCCTTTTTCTGTGGTCTTTTAGATTGTACTCTGGGATGTTTTATCAACGTTTTGATCTGCAGTTTTCCTCCATCTGAATGTTCTCTGAAGAACTTCTAAGTGTAGTTTTCCTGAGAACTGTGGTAGTTTTAACAAATTATCAAGGAGTGTTTAGTCCTCCAAAGAGCTGAGGATAAAAAGCACTTTACCTAGTACAAAACAAGTCATTAACACATAAAACAACACACATTAAAGGACTTTGGAAGCGTTGCTCTCCACAGGCTGGAGACTAAATGTTTTGTGGCTAACCGTGACTCTGATGTCTGACTCTTTCCAGATTACTGCCCCTTCAAGGCAGAGCAGAGCTCTAAACATCCACGGCCCTCCGTAGGACAGGAGATGCTTTCAACTCAAGGCCGTTGTAGATGTCGGTGGAGAACACAGAGGGTTTTTGCCTTTGTAGCCAAGTGTTTCTCTCAGTTTTTGCAGTCCCACAACCACTTTGTAATTTAAAATCCATCTCTCATATTTCACAGACATACATGAAATCTACATGTGATCTTGCCTCGTAGCTGAGGGTACAGATCCCTAAAAGACAGTTTTATGAATGATTTTTAACACATTTTTAATCTAATCATTTCCTAATGCAATGCATGTTAGCTGCACAATGCATTGCATATTGCGTGTGCAACATTGGTATTGCACAGAACTGCTTGAATAGCAGTCACTCAAACTGCTGAAGTGACTCTCATGGGCTTCAAGCTCAGAACATGTTGACAAAGGTGGTAAACAAATGAAAGGTTATTATCAGCCATATTTAGTCTCTTCCACAATAATGTCATTTTTTATGTTTCTTGCAGCTCTAATCCACAAAGTTTCAGCCATAGCTTCCTTAACCCTCCCACTGTCCTAATGGGTGTGACCACGAGAGGAAAGTGGACCACTGAGCAGGATTGATGGTTTATCCCTTGGGTCCATGTGGCAGGGGTGAGGAGTGAGCACCACATCATCCCCGCCACGTGGACCTCAAGGGATAAACCATCAATCCTGTTCAATGGTCAACTTTCCTCTCGGGGTCACCCATAAAGACAGTGGGAGGGTTAATTATATTGTACTGCTATATTAAAGATAATCATTATTTTTGATTTGTCCCCATTTGAATTGTTAAATAATAAAAAAAAATGTCACTTCTACTGTGTAATATCTATGGTGGGACTGATTATTGGATTATAAAACCCTCTACTTCCTTTATTTTTATATTTTACATAGAAAATCTAACATTGTTGAACATGCCATACTGGTGGATTATGTTTGACATGTGCAAGTTTGCCCCCCCACCCCCACCCCCCACCTCCCCAGCCTACTATGAGGACTGCATTAAAATTGTATTTTGTTTCTGAAGACAAAAATTAAGCTTTCCTTTTTCAGCTGCTTATTTCTGCTTTCTTTATTAACTTTTTTATTCTTGCAGTTTAAACATGTCTTTAGGTTAGCCTAGCCATTCTACTTGAGGATCCTCAGTAACTTTACATTTGCATCTGATGCATTTGTAACCCCACATGAGCAGCACGGCGCTGCGGTCTCAGCTGCCATAAGGGCAGGTGGTTTAACGAAATCAGTGCAAAGAACCTTTGCACCATCATAAAATGCACATTTTCACTAAACTTTCCACAGAAATCAATAAGCTGCAGGTTTAACAGCAGGAAAACAAATGTTTGCATTGTTATTATTATTATCAAGTCAGTGACTTGATGCAAGTTGCTGGGTTCCTTAATAGGAAACATTATTTCTGATTGGCTTAATGAACAGACCTAAATTGGAATGTTTATTATGTGAAGTGCCTTGAGACGACTCTTGTCGTGATTTGGCGCTATATAAATAACCTTGAATTGAATTGAATTGAATTGAATTAAATTGAAATTTTCCCTCTCTAAATCCTTAAATGGCATTTTGCATTCAGGTTGAGAGACATGAGTCCAGAGAAGAAAAATGTTCCCAGTTTGTAAAAAGTGACGTAAACATTTAAAACAGAAGTCACCGTTTGGTTAAATGACCAAACTGCATTAGTTACAAACACTAATGGTGTTAACTGCTGATCACAACTTCTGCCCTTCTATGGAATCCTGCTCAGAAACATCTGTGTTTCCTTTTCCTGTCAGCGACAGGATGACCTGCAGCCCTCAGCCATGTTCACTGTGAGCAGCAAGCAAGGTGCTCCCGCAGAGGAATTCAGCACTTTGGACAGCACCTAGAAAAGCTCTCCTCGTTCTGGAGTTCTAGCTGTGCTCGCTCACAGACCGGACTTACGGACTCTGTGGTCAGAAATGGAAACCACATTTGTACCAAAGTGCAGGGGAGGAGCTCTTTACGAGTAGGAGGGAAAACCAGCAAATTATCCAAACATTTAGATAGACTTGAATCATTACATGTATTTACTTCATCCACAAGTTATTTAATTGTTAATATGTGGAACAAACATATCTTTTCTTTCTTCCAGGTAGCCGGGAAGCAGCTTTCACCTACGCCATCACGGCAGCAGGGGTGGCCCATGCCATCACAGCGGCATGCAGCCAGGGCAACCTGAGCCAGTGTGGCTGTGACCGGGAGAAGCAGGGCTATTACAATCAGGAGGAGGGCTGGAAGTGGGGCGGCTGCTCGGCTGACATCAAGTACGGTATCGAGTTCTCACGACGCTTTGTAGATGCCCGTGAGATTAAAAAGACTCCTCGTCGCCTGATGAACCTGCACAACAATGAGGCGGGCAGGAAGGTGAGGAGCCTTCTCAGATCCTCAAGCTCTGCAACATGTGGGTTTTTATTTTCAGATTGAGTTCTCTTGAATGAAGATGCTAGAATAATGGGATAGCAAAAATGTCATACTGCACATGACTTAACCCAATCATTTAGTCTTTGTACCCATCAACTGATTAGCCTGAGCAAAGGTCCACCAAACTTTTTTTGTTAGTTTTTGCACTCATGCTTTGTTCTAGCTAAATACGTCGTCTTTGTTTCACAAAGCAACACTAAAGATGCCGGTTCAAATCCCTGCAGCAACCTCCCTGTGCAGAGTTTGCATGTTCTTCCCTTGGTGTTTGTGTACTCTGTCCAGAAATATGGATGTCACACTGAGTGGTGACGTTTACTTAGGCGTGCGATAGTGTGTTGCTGGTTGTTGGTCTACAGTTCACTCTGTGATTGACAGTCAGCCTGTCCAGAGTGTCCCCCGCCTCTTGTCCGGCTCCCTGTGACCCTACTGAGGTAGATGGATGGATCTGAACCTCAACAGCACTCTAGTGTATGGAAGAGATTGTGTAATTTTTAAAGTATTCGTTTTAGACAGTAGACCCTGTCATTTGAGTCTGCTTAGGAACAAAGTGTACCAGCTATGTGAAGAAAGCTTTTGGATCACCAAGAGCCCCAGAACATCCCAACAACACACTCATGATCTGACATGACAGCAAAGGCCTACGCAGCACAACCGAAGATTTCTAAATAATAGCCCAGTTTCAGTTTCCTGTTCTTGGCTGATGGGCGTGACGCCCGGCGGGTCGTCTGCTGCTTCAGGGTTCAGCGTGCGGTGGTTCCGCTTGGCTGAACCCCGAAGTTTATTTTTTTTCTAAAATAATTTTGATTTCCATGAACCAGTCTGACAAATCTCCTCTCCAGGGATGTTCTTCAGTGGATTTTTTTTCCTGACCTGTCTCAGTAAACTAGATAGATGGTTGTGGGTTCAAATCCCAGATGATCAGAACAGCCATCTGACACCATAACCACACCAAATTCAAAGTCACCTAAATCCTCACGTTATCTTTACTACACGTAAACCCAATTGCATGAGTTGCTGCCATGTGTTATTAACCCCGTGGACAGGTGTGCCTAATGTAGTGGCCAGTAGGTCTTTGTGTTTTCGTTCACTGATGCAGGTTGGCGTGAGTTCTCAGTCACAGATGAGCTTTGCTTGAGCCAGAATGATGATTTATTATTAGTCCTCTCAGAACGTTGTGTGGATATTTTCATGTAATGCATTAAATATAAACCAACAAGACTGATGATATGATGAAAAAAGGATTTCATTCAATTTGCAGACGTGCTCCGTTTGTATGGGAAACAGCAGCTGATGGATGGTGTACAGCCATCCCCAAGTTTTTCAGCTCCTACCATGGAGTTATGAAAAAAGAAGTCAGGAACAGGAAATTATTGCAGTTGTCTGCACAATACCAAAACATGTCCCAGTCATCTGAATGCATCTATTCAGGGTGTGAAAGCAGGCTGACAATGCCGGTGTTAACACTCCAGACTGATGGGGTCTGTGCTCTGCATGCCAGGGTGCTGGCATGCTGGACCATCAGCCTTGGCGTTGTTGTTCTCAGCCCGGTCCCTGGAACTCCAACATCTCCTCTGTCTGAGGGTATCACAGGTTAGAGTAAGTCATTCTGAGAAGGACTTAAAAGGTAGACAACCCCAGATAAACGGGCTTCAGTTTTGCTCTTATTAGCCGACACATATGGAATTAAAGGTTTTGATCCTACTTTTATTAAACGGCTGGTTGAACTGAAATAGCGCTATTGACTCACACAAACCCCAATGACAGGGGACGTTTCATTGTAACCGTCTAGTTAGAAGACACCTTTAGCTCATTAAACCGCAGCCAGAGGAACAGTTCCCCAGACATATTAGGCATTTGAACAAAACTCAAGCATTATTCTCATCTTCTTCCACCTATCCGGGTCGCGGGGGCAGCATCCCAACTAGGGAGTTCCAGACCATCCTCTTCCCAGCCACCTCCACCAGCTCCTCCGGTGGGACCCCAAGGCGCTCCTGGGCCACTTCGGAGATGCACTTTCTCCAACGTGTCCTGGGTCGACCAGGCCAGCTGGACATACCTGAAACACCTCCTTGGGGAGGTGTCCAGGAGGCCTCCTAACAAGATACCCAAACCACCTCAACTGACTCCTCTCGATACGGAGGAGCAGCGGCTCAACTCCAAGTCTCTCCTGAATGTCCGAGCTCCTCACCCTATCGCTAAGGCTGAGCCCAGCCACCCCGCAGAGAAAACTCATTTTGGCTGCTTGTATCTGTGATCTTGTTCTTTTGGTCCTCACCCAAAGCTCAGGACCATAGGTGAGGACTGGAAGGAAGATCGAGAGTCATGCTTTCCGGCTCAGCTCCTTCTTCACCACAACAGACCGGTTCAGCGTCCGCATCACTGCAGACAGTGCCCCAATCCGCCTGTCGATCTCCCGCTCCCTCCTTCCCTCACCAGTGAACGGAGTTGGCAAGCTGCCCTTTTCTGGTCGAGAAGAAGCCGGTCAAGTATCATTTTTGTCCTGATATCATAATTTTGAAAAGATGAAATCATAATCCTCAAACAAAAATAGAAATGCACGTAAGAAAAATCTCATTGTTTATATTTATCATAGCAGATGGTAAAATGTGTTATAATTATTTCAAAGGATCAAAACTAACTACACTAGTTATGATCCTGTTAGAGGCTGATGCAAAAATAAATAAATAAATACTCCAGCCAAATCCAACAATTCACCTTCCAAAGAGGTTTGCTCCTCAGTTCCACATCCCAGTGTCATTCTCCTACACTCTTTCTGCAGTTGCACATTATTAGAACAACCTGTTGTGTTGTTATAGAGATGGTGATGCCAGTTGTCACGAGCTGACATTTTTTTTACGTTTTCTGTTATATTCACACAACCAAAAGCTCTTTAACCTCTAAAAGCTTTAGCCTCTCGACTAGTTTCCTCTAAACGGGGTGTGGGCATCTAAGGCAGAGAGATTCCATCAGATGGAGCACAAAACAAAGACTGGGATGTGTTTGGGGTGGGACCGGTGTAGTGCTAGTGAGGCCAGTCTTGTCGGCCCTGTTTCAAATTCTTGACTATCAGGCCGTTCCAGGCCCAGATGAAGGATTTTCTGCCACAGCACTCCTATATGCTCCACCCAGGACCACGATGGTGAACCACCACAACCTAACTCACGAGGGTTTTATGCCCCCTCTTGCAAGAGTGATGCTTTCTTAGTGCATGCCTGAAGATCTAACTGAGGCTTTGCAAGGCCAGTCGAGAGGGGGACATCTGATGCTTCTTGGAAGGATTCTTGTAGGGTCAGCCATCCAACTACAATCTGCATTAGTTCGTGATAAAGATTGGTTCTTATTAAACATGATAGATCGTGTAGACCTTCTGCATCAGGTGGCGTCATGCGCAACAGAATGCGGGATCATAAACCATGTCATCACTTCTGAATTTATTGCAAATGAGCAGGAAAATAATATTCTGGTCGTGATGAGGAAAGGAATTGGGTCTCAGATGGGATGCAGCTGAGATTTTGTTTTCCAATCTCTAATATGAGCCATCATTAAAACAAAAGACTATAATTATACCATTTTCTTCTGTTACCCTAACCCAGTGTAAAACAACACCCAGTGAAACACCACATCCCTTAAATCTAGAAGTGTGTGTGTGTGTGTGTGTGTGTGTGTGTGTGTGTGTGTGTGTGTGTGTGTGTGTGTGTGTGTGCGTGTGTGTGTGTGTGCGTGCGTGTGTGCGTGTGTGCGTGCGTGTGTGTGTGTGTGTGTGTCTGACGAGCAATCTTCAGATGAGAACCGGGTCGTATTGGACTAATCAGTAACAGATCAGAGGCTTTGATGGACATAGTTTAAGTAAATGTTTCCATGCATCTGTCAGGCTCCTTATGCCAGGCATTCCTTGTGGTTTGTGCGCTGTGCATTTTTGGAAATCCTCTCTCTGAATCAACATCCGCGGCGAAGCTGACAGCTGACCCTGGCGTTCTTTTTTTTTAATTTTTTGTTGTTTTTTCAGCATTCAGGGAAACTCATGTTTTTTCAATCAAAAGTCTTCAAACGGGGAAACTCTGACCACACTGGTGCATAGACATGACTGACAAAGATACCGAGCATCACTTGTGAATGCTCGTAAGTGTTGGATAGAAGCAATGACTTGTGCCTCGGGACATGCGCCAGGAAAAAGGCTGCACGAGGAACCAACATCTTACTTTACAACATAAACACAATTTTGCTTCAAGCAACTGGAGGGGTCGTAACCGGGCTAAAGGCCTTGTGTCAGACCATTACCCCTGCAGCACACTGGAAGCATCAGCGGCGCGGAACGCCAGCGGAAAGTCACTGTTTCAAATAGAATCTATTATAGTTTATGGAGTGTCACAAAGCGGTCGTGATGCAGCAGGTTTTAGACGCGTCCCAGAAGCGGCGCTCCACACCGCTAAAGTTAGGGTCGGGCTGTACATTTTCAGCGAGCTGCTTCTGGGGTCAAAAGTTAACATAGGGCTAGACAAGATATCACACACGGTTTCAGTGTAAAATTCATGGTGATTTTCAAAATAAAAGTACAGCAGCAATGCAATTCCGTGTATATGAAGCTTTCGTGTGACCTAACGGCTTATTTACTCACAGCATCTTTCCAGAAATGCAGTGGTGTGTTTTTTGTGGCTTTAATCTCGACTGTGAAGAGGAACAACATCATATATGACATTAAACAGCGGTGCAAAACGGGATTTCCTTCTTTTTGGATTAATGGCGCATTGCACAAAGAAACTTTGAGGTCTCGAGGGGTTTAGTGATCTCGCGAGTCGAGCAAGTAGCACGGCAGAGAAGCCGCTTCGCTGGCTGAGACTCTCCCGTGTGCACTGGAGGGCGGTGATTGTCACGAGTAAGCCGGTTTGCTGCTGTTCTGCACTGCTGATGCTTCCAGTGGGCAGCCGGGGTTAGAGATGTTAACAGAAGACATTTGTGCTTCACTGCTTGTTTTTAATGCACCTCATTTAAAACAATTCCAGACTATAAATCCTCTCCTGTGGCATTCAGTAAACTGGCTTATCTTTAATTACCAGTCTACTATTTAAGGAATCACATAATCCTCAAATGTCCTGCTCTAGTTGCACACTGAGCTGGTCTTTGTCTTCAGTTGCACATTTAACACAGTTTTCTAAATTTAAATCATCCCAAATGAAATTGATGGCTCCTAAGAAAGCCGTGTTTATTTTTCCTGTGAGACTGATGTGGTTTGAAGAAGAGAGGAGAAAATTACAGGATAGATTATTACCAGTACCTACAGTCTACCTTGTCTCAGAGCATGCTACTGCATGCAGAGGGTGGTGGAAAATCCTGATATGTTTGGATTTGTCTATTTCACTGAGATCTGCAATGATCCAGACTAATGGTGTCTGGAAAAGAGCCCGAGGCAGCAAGTGAACAGCATAAGCATCAATTACAGGGAGCAGAGAGAATAATTTTGTTTTTAAATGCACATAAACACAAAGTCTAAATGTGCCTAAAGCATTTTATTAGAAGTTTGTTAAGAAAGCTTAATTACTGGGTTCTCTGGTGCATCAAAAGTTAATCTGTCACAATAGATCTGGGATTTGTAGATAATCTGAGTCGATTAAGATCCACATGCTTGTTCTATATCTATCTAGCTATCTATCTATCTATCTATCTATCTATCTATCTATCTGTCTGTCTGTCTGTCTGTCTGTCTGTCTGTCTGTCTGTCTGTCTGTCTGTCTGTCTGTCTGTCTGTCTGTCTGTCTGTCTGTCTGTCTGTCTGTCTGTATTATTATGTTGGCGTGACATTTTGTTTGCAATCTTAATTTAATTTATCCGTAGATATAAAGAGAATCTGTAGCCAAGGAGAACATTATTTATATGAACATGTGTGCCGCAGTTCTTTTATTTCCTGTGTCTGTTGACAGGTCCTAGAAGAGCGGATGAAGCTGGAGTGCAAGTGTCATGGCGTTTCAGGCTCCTGCACCACCAAGACATGCTGGACTACACTCCCAAAGTTCCGAGAGATCGGCTACCTACTTAAGGAAAAATACAACGAAGCGGTGCACGTGGAGGTCGTCCGGGCGAGCCGACTGCGCCAGCCCACCCACCTCAAGGTGAAGCAGACACAGGGCTACCGAAAGCCCATGGAGACGGACCTCGTTTACATTGAGAGGTCACCCAACTACTGTGAGGAGGACGCAGCCACGGGGAGCGTTGGCACCCAGGGACGCCTTTGCAACCGCACCTCACCACACACGGACGGCTGTGACCTTATGTGCTGCGGTCGAGGGTACAACACTCACCAGTACACCAAAGTGTGGCAATGCAACTGTAAATTCCAATGGTGCTGCTTCGTAAAATGCAACACGTGCAGTGAGAGGACGGAGGTGTTTACCTGCAAATAAGGCTGCGGGAGACTCCTATTTTCAGGAGGTGTGGCACCACGGAGTAGCTGGATGAGGACGCCCTGACTGTTGGGTCTTGGACCAGAGAGATGTTGAAGATTGAAAAAGTGGAATTGACACTATCAGCTCTTCATGGCATTGTTTTGCACAGCAGAATCTTATCTAATTGCTTCTCAGAAAGTAATTGCTAATTACCAGTAGACAACAGCCCAGAACTTTATTGTCACATAGAGATCGTGATGATGAACGGATGCATCCACAGCTAAGTTTGGAGTAGATTTTTGCATTATTTGAGATTTGCATGGACAGGATCCCAGAGGAACGTGGGAATAACAACAAACAAAACAAAAACAATGACAGCAGCTGACTTAAGGTGACAAACATGGTGGCAAACGTTTGTAAATCCTCTTGTGTTCTCACTAAAGGGGAACTCCTACGTAAATGTTGACAAACACCCTCGAGATTGGCTGAGGCCTGAGTTTGAGGTGTAGACGAGAACATTGTGTAATGGCGGCACGTTGTGTTGCGCCAAAGTTTGAGTGGAGAACTCTATAAAACCCTCTGCTGCCAACTGGAATACGGCGGAGAATGTTGGTTTTCCAGTAACACTGGAACTGTCTGTTCTGAACACTGAAAATAAATTGTCTATTTATGTTATAGTATCTTTAAAACAAAGCACTAACGGGTAGAGATGTCTGTTTTTTGTACTAAATGTAAAGACAAATACAGTTTGGTGACTCGACTAAAATGTGTGTCTACTAGAAGTTGTCTGGAGGATCCCATAACACACTTTATCTGTTCTTTAGTGACAGGGAAGGGTAAAAAGCTTCTAATGCTGCTGATGTGTTGGTAGTAAAATACATCTTTACGGGACATCTCATCTCACCTAATCCACTCACCTGTCTGGATGGGTCTGCAACAACAACCGATTCATCTGCAGAAATCCTTCCTCAAGTTATTAAACATGAACTTTTAAACTACGCTGGCTGTGTTGAGTCCTAATCACATTTTTTATCCAGACATAACTGGTCAACCTTCACAATTTGATGTTTTGATTCAGATATATTAACTACAGTTAAGCCTGCAGGTCACAGATTCAGAATTCAATATTCAATATTGAAATTTAAATATTCTCTTAAGAAATATTTTTTCATTACCCAAATATTAATAATTTACTCATCGTTACATTATTTGAATAAGACGGTAATAGTATTTTTTAATTCATTTTTCCAGTGAAAAGGTTTTTACACAGGCCATTAAAGCTACAAATGACCAGATACAAATAATCTGGACTAAATCTTAAGACTAAAGAAAAACATGACACGTTTGAAGTAACAATTGAGTCACTTCTTCCATATTTTTCTTTTTCCCAAGTTCATTTATATTTGGGATTAGCTAAAAAGACCATAAAAAGTGACAAAAACGAAGGAGCATCAGTCAGAAGACTATGGGATGTTTGCACTAGCCCCAATGCATTCTGGGAGCTGTAGTTTTGTCATAGTACTTGTCCAATAGCCTCGGTTTGAAGCCGTCTTGATTTAGTTTTAGTTTTTTGACTAAAATTCTAAAGAGTTTTAGTCACGATTTGCTCGTCCAGTTTCTTTTTATTTTATTCTCATTTTAGTCGACTAAAAGTATTTTCTTCCAGTAAAATCATTTTTAACTTCTTTAAAGGGAAGCACCACTAGAACAGCCTGAAATGCCGCTCCACGCGTTCACTTTAGTTCAGCTCCACAATCCCTCCCCTGCTCCGCCTGCTCCTCCTCCCTCCTCCCTACCACCACAACACGTTTACAACCAGGGGAAACCCCGCATGTGTACTCACCAAGAAAAAGGTTTTAATGCTTTTCCTCCCAGCCGTAGAAATTAGACATAAACTGTTACCGGCATAGACGTCGGTTAGCGGTAATTCCAGATCTGGACTCTGGTTATTTTTTCCTGTAGTCCTGCCTATTCCGTTTTCCGATTGGTTATTCTTCCTGTCAGTTTGTGTTGTTATAGTTTTAGTCAAGCACAAAAAGAAAAGGAACAATTTAGCTTTTTCTTTTGGCATCATGGCGGAGCCTGGAAGTGTTGTTTTTGTCAACAACGACAATGACTAGAGGACTTCGTTGATGCCGCTCTTTCCCATAATGAAAACAAGATGCTGACTAGCTAAAAATAGCGTTTTAGTGACTAAAACATGATGAGACGGGCGAGACTTTTCTTTGACGAGACTGGACAAAAATGATGCTCAAAAGCAAATTTCTGCCTGTCTCACAAAAGCTAAAAAAATAACAGCACTGCTGCTGCGGGCTCTGCGTCCCACCAGCGTGCAACGGCATCCTGCTCAGCAGACCTGAGCGCCGAGGACAGCGCTTCTTTGCCACGGGAACATGAGGCTATACTGAGACTAATGTTCTTAATATTAGCACGTTTCTTTTTCATGTGCTATCTGAAAATGTCATGTTTTTACTCGGATAAATGAAAGAAATGACGGTTTTAACAGGTTGTATTTGAACACATTTCAGACGAACGGTTTAAATGGTGTCAGGATTATTTTCTCTGCTCCCTGGTTCCCAACAACGGGTCACATTCCTGCTTTTTAATCCAGCAGCATAACAGTTTAAACACCTCTAAATGGTTATGAGCATCACTGTTGATGCTCAGCTGCAGAATCAGGATAATATGGTAATTCTATGGGCTCATGAAAACTCACAACACTGCAGTGTAGACATTTATGAAACATTAGCATACATAACAGCTAGGAAATTTCTGAGATTAAAGCTTTTTAGTGACAGTTGTTTAAAACAGGCTCCACAAACTGTTAGCTCGTCAGTCTCAATCAGAACAAACCGGTTGCTCCAAACGGAGGTTTTTCAATTTCGAAGTAGGTAAAATATTTTCTCAGAAAGCTGCATCATGAAAATCTGAATCACCACATTAAGTTTAAACAACATTTTGTTCACTCTGTAAGTTTTCGTTGATTTAAAGGGGACATGCAACTTTTTATGATCAATCTAAAACATGTTCACGAAGTTCTTAGTTCAAAACAAGTCCCAGAGGAAAATAAGTTGGAGATGGCCATTCCACCCATCCCCAGATAGGCTGCTGTCATATGAGAAGATCCGATACTGAGGCGGGGCTCAGAGTAGAGCCGCTGCTCCTTCACCTCCACAGCTTTGCTGGTATTCCTCATGGGGCGTCACAATAAGGGACATTTTGAAACAGCTCATGTGGGGCACACAGTTCCTAAACCGAAAGCTTTTTTCTTTACCGTAGCTTAATTCACGTTGACAATTTTTTTTACAGAGAAGACAAGTTTAATAAAGGTAACATATTTTTGGAGTGAAGTAACTTGTTCACAACGCAAGCCTTTTTCATCCTTGCACTCATATTCCTCATTAAAGTGGATGAAAAACATAAACGCACTTATGGAGATGCTTCAGTAAAGACTTTTCTGCTTTGACAAGGAGGCACATTTCTGTCCACGTTTAAAAAAACTGACGTTGCTTTGATTTAATGACGAATTGTTTAGTGAAACAAACACAAGCTTCTCCTCGAACCGTTAAGCAACAAATCCACATTCTTTATTACTTTTACATGTTGGTACAAGACCGCCGCTATCGGGAGCTCAGCTGCTTGTAGCGACTTATTAACATTTACTTCAACCATTGATGGAGGACACACGCGCGCACACACACACACACACACACACACACACACACACACACACACACACACACACACACACACACACACACACACACACACACACACACACACACACACACAGAGTTGGAAAACACTTTAATCATTAAAATCAAAACAAAATAAATAGATGTGATTTGACTGTGATGTAATTCTGCACATGTTGGTAACAAGCTAACATCTCGTGTTCAGTTTGTGGGCCTGCGTTGGTTCCATTGAGACATTCTCCTCCTTTTCTCACATAAAGGAGCTTCATCTCAGCGTGTTGAGAAAGATGTGATCAGAATCTCAAAAACTAAAAACTAGAATGAACCATAAACTTCTGGGAATAAGGGCGATACATTCTCACTCAAACAAGAATCTCCTGACAGATGATCAGAAGAGATGTTTTCTGTTTATGAGCAGAAATGAAAAACTTTAGCATCAGCTGTTAAAGATGAACTAAATAAGGGCTTTTACTGCAAGGCTGGGAGATAAAAACCATCTGAGCCCTTCAGAGTCTGGTGTTCTCTGCTTTGGCAGAGCTGTTGGGAGAAACCTAATGAGAAGAGGACCTTCATGCAAATGATCTGATGTGAATAGGAAGTGTCTCAGTGTGTGTCCTGTTTATGGACACAGACAAGGGCACAGTTTTTCAGTGGGGGGTGTTCTGAGATGGATGGGGTGGCTCGATGAAAGGAGGTGATTGCTTAGCCGGAAACTGAGTGAATAGAGCAGTTATTTAGAAGAGGAGCTAATTGAGTGTGCGCTTTGGAGATAGAGCGAGTATACATTATAAACAGGAGCAGCTGTCGTAGGGAATTGGTGCCTGGTGCAAAGTGGGGCTCTAGGATAGACTGTTGGAGCTCAAAATGGGGTCGATAATAATTAACTCCTGATTTGATCGTGCTTGGGCTTTCGTGGAATTTCCAGTAGTCCCGTATTTAAAGGAACTATAAAATAACTTATTTCCCTTTTCTCCTCGCCAGAGTCTTTGTCCAACTCTTTCTATGAAGGGATTCTGTGAAAGAGCCATGCTCTTCCATCCTTTAGCTGGACCCGTCCTGTATGTGAAAAGCATTGTGGGCGGGCAGCAGAGCAGAAGTAAGATGTGTTTTGTTAGTTGTCTGAAGCCCAGGGGACCGGAACCCCGTCATTTCTCCCACATCATGCCCCGCACCGAGAAAAAGGAATCCATTTGTTTCCAACTAATATTTTGTAATCAAAATGATTACAGAGGAAAACAGATGTTTTGTGTGTGACTTCTTCTAAAGCTGCCATAAGGTCATAATAAACTGTAAATATGATCATGAGGAAAGATTAAACGTATTATCTTTGTCGAGAGCGTGCAACAGCTTTCTGCAGTTATGTAGATGTGATCTTCAGAGCTTTTTGGCATTAGGAAGAAGAGTCTTTTCTCCGAGGCAGACATGCACCAGACCACAAGGATTTCATCTAAACTGAGCAAGACAGACAAAAATTGCCATGATTACTCTTGAAAAGCAAAAAGAAGTTAAAGCTTGTTTTGCTGAAGCAACACGTTTCCTCTGCAGTGCTTCCTGCTGGTGTTTTAATGCATTATCTTGAGTACTGAAGGAGTTTCACATTTGGGTCGGTGCGGCCCGGCCCTGTATGGGATCCTGTCTCACATCTGGGTAGCCTGTGTGTTGTCTGTGCTCAAACGACCAATTCACCTTTTTGTTTCAGACCAATCTTTTCATGGTAAGGCTTTACCATGGGTTGTATTTGACCAATTGTCAGGGCTTCTGGGCCATTTTGAGCCCCAACAAAGTTTCAAATATTTATAGAGGTTCAAATACCGTAAATCCTCTAATATTAGCCTGTATTTAATTAACTGCCGGGTATCACATTTTGGCCGGTGTCGGAGTCGGCGGAGGTGAATAATGGCCGTTTTTTTATTGTGGCCGGGTGGAATGTGGTAACAAGCAAGTACGGGGGGCAGTTGTGTCATCCGTCTCCAGGGGCGTCGGACTGGGGGGGGGAAGGGTACCATTTACCCAGGGCCCACTGCAGGGAGGGGCCCTGAGACAGCTTTGAATAAAAATGTTTTATTGTTGTTGTTTCCCCCCCCCCCCCCCAACTTACTTAATGTCTTAATAAACTTCCCTTTACCTGGATAAAGAGGTTAAGAAACAGAATTTCGCCTTAAAAATAATAACTGAATAATCTCTGAGGCATCTATCACCCCTTAAAAATGTGCAAAGTGGTTTAGTCCACACCAGCGGCCAGGGGCTGCACGGCCGCATGTGAGACATCGCAGATGCCGACGGCCAGAGCTGGAGGCAGGAGA